ACTTCTTCATTTTATTATAGCCATATATATATATATATATATATATATATGCCCTAACATTTCGACCAAGTAACTTTTGTGGAAAATAAATTTATTCAATGTAATTGTTTGGAAGATAATTTATAGATATCTTTAATTCTTGGAACATATTTTTTTGATAATTTGCAATTGTACTCACTTGTCTCAGTTAACCACGTTGAAAATTTCAGTTTAAAGTCTTATAATGGAGATGATAATACAACATGATCTAAGAACTGAAAAAGCCTCCTCCGATTATGTAGCTAAAGTTATTTATGATGGCTTTAAACAAACAAAAGAAACCTGCAGAAAAAGTAAAGTAGTTTTCAAATTCTTCCAAATAAATAGCAGAATACTTTAGTCACCCATGAAGAGCATCTGATTTCTTAAAACAAGTAGGTTCCTTAAAATAGATAACATTCCAAAATGTGTGGGTCTTTGGATAGTATAGATCAAAATAAGTAACATGAATGACATGGAACTTTCAGATGATTACTGTATCTCTTGGTTAACAGAAAGTTTAGAATCAAATTTAAACCTTATAAATAAGTACATTAATATGTTAATGGAAACTATGAGGTAAATATACAATTTTTATTTCAACTAGCTCTTTGACCCCTGATCCATACATTTCTGCCATACAGATCTTTAAATAGTTTACTGAATTTGACTTTGGGCTACATCAAGTTTTGGATATTTGTAACCCATGAAAACCTGACTGCAAAGTGCAGAGTGCATTATGTTTTCTGCTTGTGCCCACACTCCTTTTCAGTGCTGTAATCCTAGCTCTGAAGACTTTCCTGCCTTCCCATCTTATCTTCCCATACTCTCTCCACAAGGCATTCTTTGATCCCTTCTCTTTTCTGTCAGTAACTACTCTTTGTCCTTTATACCTTATTTTGAATTCAACAGTATAATGCTAATTTAAAACAGATTTTAGCAATGAAATGAACAGTGGCTTTTCTTTAGTTAAAACAAGTCTTAAAGTAGGAATATTCTTATGATCCCTAATTAAGTTTTACCTAAATATTGAAGAAGCAGAGTAACTATATTATCTGAGAAGAAGGGATAAGCCAGGATAGTGGTGTTGGTCTGTAATGCCAGCTACTTGAGAGGAACAGTCCAGATAAAAAGCTAGCCAGACCCTGTGTCAAAAATGAAATAAAAACAAAGGGACTGGGGCCATGGCTCAAATGACTAAGAGTTGCCAAGTATGCATGAAACCCTGGGTTCAATGTTGGTAGCTAAGTTCGGAAGGGATTGGGTTGACAAGGGACCACACAACATACAGAAAATACCAGAGTGCTTTAAGTAATGGGAAAGGAGTGGCTAATTCTAAGAGGAATTTCACAAGAATGGATGGATAGAGAATAAAAGTAGACTTTCATTTATGTCAGATTTTTCCCTAGGAGAATCACTGGTATTTTAGTCTTGAGAGTTTCATTCTGGGTGTTCACAGTAGTACTCATCTCCTGCTTGTTGTCTGGCTTTGTTATGGGCACTGGGTCATGAAGCAGTAAATGATAAGGATACATGGATCATTGAATAATTTTTTATTTCCATTTAAGAGATGGAAAAATTGAGGTCCAGAGAAAATGTCTCACGGTTCCTGGGGACAGTCTTGGCAGAATTGCCTCCAGAAGGAAATCCTATCATTGGTAAGAACATGAATTAACTTGGAGAACATTATGCTAAATTATATAAGCCAGACACAGAAAGATAAATACTTTTTGATCTTACTTATTTGTGGAATTTAAAAAATTTGAACTCATAAAAGTGCAGAGTAATTGGTGGTTACCAGGGGCTGGGAAGGGGAGATATTGTATGGGAACTATTGTTTAAAGATTAAAAAAAATATACAGTTAGGCAGAAAGAATAAGTTTGGAGATCTATTATGTAGTAAAGTGACTAGTTGACGTATGTAGACTCGAAAATTTCTAAGAGATTTTAAATGTTCTCATCACAACAACTTGGTATGTGAAGTGATGAATCTGTTAATTCGCCTGATTTAATCATTCTACTATATTAATATGTCACAATATTATATGATATTCACTTGTATAATTTTTTTACAAAAGGAATCCATGTCATGTAGGTCTTCTCATTGCACTTTGTAGACCAGAACTATAAATTGGACTTTAGATTTGTCCTTTTAGTAAGACACTGTTATGCTTTCTCCAGCATGCGTTCATTTCTTCTTCAGTTATGAAGTATTGTTCTTTCTTACATTTCCTTGTCATTCCCTCTATTCCCCAACAACCTTTTGGAATTTTTCCTTGCATTGTACATGTTGCTACATCACTTAAAATAGACCCAGTCAGGTTCCATGATAATCTCTGCCCTAATCATATCGGCCAAGATGGCAGGAAGGCAGGACTTGTCACAGCACATTACCTAAGTGTCCATGATGCAATCAGACACTGTGGCACAGGACAAAGTGAGCAGAGGGAGAGAAAGAAATGAGGTAGATAAAGGGAGAAGGTGAAAGCCACAGAACTGCTACTGTATTGCACTAGAGACAGAACAGGCCACCAGGTTCTTCTGCAACCATACTGTTATAGAGAGTTTACTGATGGAGGTTTAAATCATACTTAGAGTCTAATTATGTGAAACAGTATTAAGTCACTTCATTCATGATGAGAGACAAGATATTGATATGCCATTTGCAGCACAGAGCATGCACACTGAACTTAGAATTTCCCTAAAGGAACTGGGACACCCAAAACTGTAGTAGGGGGTCTGGTTCAGTCACTAATATTGTTTGTATTTCACTTTTCCTTATATTTCTCTTTGAATATTCAGTAAAAAAATGGTGATTAATACACTGTAATTTAAGAAAAGACATATTTTGTTTGGGTTTTTTGGTAGTACTGAGAATTGCTAGGTAGGCACACCACCACTTGAACCACTTCACCAGCCCAGTGTACTCTAATTTTATATTCAGTAATGTCTAGTGAATATAGTGATTGTGGTAAGGGATACTTAGCAATATCTTCATCTGTCTCTTGTAAAGGGACAACAAGTATTATGATATTTTAATAAATTATCTTGTCCTACCTCTATTGTCAGAAGCCTTAAGATTATCAGTTATGTGTACACAAGACTTTTGCATGGTATCAGTAAACAAGAAGAAACATTCTGGGAGTGGGAGGTATAAAAGACATCTGGTGCTGGAGAATCTACAGTATGAGTACACTCTGTTTGTTGAAGCTTGATTTCTCTGGAGAGGAAATGTATTCCCTTTTCATTTACAGCATCTCCCAGGTAAGAGACAAGTGTTCTTAGGCCATTCTGCTTGCTCTTTCAATCAATTCTTTGCTAGCTTTCTTTGAGGCTGTGTTAATCTTGAAGTTAGTAGTATCATTTTGGAAAAGGAGGTATAAGAAGGAATAAAAGGACAAAGTCTATGAAAGACAATGACTTGACATGTTATTTCTCAAAAGTCCTTAAGGAATTTTCAATTATATCATCAACTTGCCCCAAACCAAATGAAAAATAATTTTACACTGAATTAATATTTATAAGATAGATGTAAAAATAATGTTTTTTGTGAGACAATTACAGTTTCATTTCTCATACCAACATAAACACTTATATTCTATTATTTATATACTTATTAATATATTATAAATTAAGAATATAATTTTAACTCTTGAAGCCTAAGTAATGTTTCCTCTTGAAAAACCATTAAAACTGTAGCTTTCATACTGTATCATAATTTTGTGGTTTTAAAACTAATATTTTTGTTGTCCTCTCTACAAAAGACAAACACGCTCCCTAAATATAATTAGAAAAATAATTAAAAATGAGAAAATGCATGCAATTTTTTCTGCTATCTAAAAAAATGACCACTATAAATTTTTTGTGTGCAAAGGATACAAAGTTTCCTTCCAGTGCAAAGGATATTTCTTGGACTGGTGGAGTGACTCAAGTAGTAGAGTGCCTGCCTAGCAAGTGTGAGGACCTGAGTTCAAACTGCAGTACTTCAAAAAAATTACAAACGATATTTCTTATTGCCTAAGAATAGCACTTACTGAAGAGCAACTACTGCATAACCTCACACAATTTAAAAAATAATGTTATTAATTTTTTTAAGAGATGCAGAAATAAAATGTGTATACTTACTAAATCCCTAATTATAATCTAGTGTTCCTTACTTAATAGTTTACCAAGTAACATGCAACAGCTGCAGATCCATTTTAGAGCACTATCAGTGTGAATAAGATAATAAAACTCTCACCCCCAAAGATCTGCTTGTTATAATACTCCAGTAATTAATTCATAAACTCTCCTTGAACAACATGTTTTAAAGACTCAAATCACCCTCCCCTACCCAATCCCACCTTGGCTTGACCAGCAGTTGTCCACTTCCCATACTCCCTTGCTTTATACAACAGAGAAATGTTTTAGAAAGTGATTATCTACTGATTTATAACTCTGATGCTTGAAATCAAAAGAAAGTAGGAGTAAAGGAGTCAGTTTGGGAAAGGAAATGAAGAGAAAAATGCATCCGAGCCAGAAATGGTAATAACTGGTTTCATTTAATCATTTTGCAATGTTATCTCCTCTCCTCCATAACAGGCTTCACACATTTTCTTACAATTTTTGCAAAGCATGCATGATTATCTTCACATCTATAAAGAAAATATTTTACCTGTAAGTGTGGTCAGGTTGTCTCTAAAGACTTAAAAAGATTTGTTTGTGTTGATTCTTTCTTCAGTAAAAGAGAAAATGTACAAAGTCAATGGTCCATTGGTCTCTTAACACTCCTGGGATTTTTTTCTCAGTTTGTGTCTAAAATATTTGTCTTTACCACTGCCCGAATGAAGAGTTAAAGTGTATGTATTCTTTAGCAGTATTTTCAATTAATTCCTTTATATTCTGATTGGTTGCTTAACATCCAGTAGTCATGGCTTAACACTGCTTCTTATACCTTTTTTTTTTTCAGCTTGCTAACTCTAAACACGACTGCATAGTTTGGCCTGGTGAAATATAGTAATTTTTCAGGATTTTATAACTGCTTTTTTTATGGGTCTCCACATATTACATTGCCAAATATTAAAAGTCACAGTAATAAAAAGGACTGTGCTTCTACTGAATTCATGCTTTTTTTTGGAGGGAGGGTACATTTTTCTGACAATATAAATAACTATTATAATATTGCATTTTGTCCATTATTCCTAGATCTTGTAACAGAAAATGTCTATTGACAAGTAAAAAACCTTGATTCTGACATCAGACCTTTTATGCATCTCAGTTTCAAATTTATGTAGCAATGAGTCCAAGGCCATGTTAGAAGCTATATAGCTGTAATCTACTTTCCAGCATCCAGGATTCTGACATATTTTGTTCACAGATGAGAAAATGTGGGACTACATGTTAGTTGAGACCACTGAGTATTGAGAAGCTGTCTGAGTGATGGTGCTTGGAAAATCCAGATTCATGAGTGATCCGTTGGACATTCATTTCCCATTCATAACTGAAGCTGTAAGAGTAAAGTTGGCTATCAGAATTAGGAAAGATGTTGTAATCAAACTGAACTTGCACATTTGGTATAATTTTGTCTAGCAGTAAGGAAAAAGAATAATGACCAGGTGATAAATAAAACATCTTCTGTGTCCAGTGGATAATCTGAACTAAAGTATCTTTTAGGCTAAACATATAGAGAGGTTTAAATGAAATAGCTAATGTCTTAATGCTTTGATGCTACATAATGATAAGGTGGAGTGTAGGAGTAGGAGTAGCATAAGAGTTGGTTCAAACTGTACAATGAAGAAATATGAACTCTAAATCATGCTTTGGAGATATAATCTCAGTGTCGTATGAAGATCAGGAATCTATGATGGTGGTCTCCTTGAATAGCTGTGGACTACTAATCAAAGCATTTAACTTATCTGCCATATGTGAAACTTAAATTAGCTCTGTTAATCTATAGTCATCTTAAATTACTCTATGTTTATGTGTCAGCTGGTCTGTTTTTCATACTTACATATATTTTTTTTGGTGGTATTGATGTTTGAACGCAGGGCATTGTGTTTACTAGGCTCTACTGCTTGAGACATGCCTCCAATCCCTTTTGCTCTGGTTATTTTGGAGACAGGGTCTCACATTTTGACCAGGCCAACTTGGACCATGATCCTGTTTCACACTTCACCATCACTGGGATGACAGGCACATACCACCACATTCAGCTTTTTTCCACTGAGATGAGATCTTGCAAATGTTTTTGCCCAGGCTGGCCTGGAACAGCCAGCCTGTCAGGTGCACACCACCACATCTAGCTATTGGTTGAGTTGGGGATATTTTTCCCAGGCTGGCCTTGAACTGTGATCCTCCCCACCTCAGCCTCTCATGTAGTTAGGATTATAGGAATGAGCCACCAGAACCCAGCCATAATTATAACTCTGTGTAAGACTTTTTCTGAAAAGTCAGCTTACTCTACAGAGCCTGAATCCAAGAAGTCACTAAGAATGGTTTGACATTTGAGATCAAAGAGAAAAGATACTTTAGCTTGTTTTTAAAGTCATTTCAAATGAGCGCAAAGCTAATCTCTGAAGCATTTAGAGCTTCTCTATGAATATTTATAAATAGTCCAACAGGGTAAGCATAGACATCTGGAGATGTGTGATAGAAAATCTTTGTCTGTGATTGTATTAGTCTTTCTGTTGTTGTTGTTATGACAAATAGCTGAGAAAAAATTTAAAAGGAGGAAATATTTAATTTGACTCAGTTGTGACCCAAGGTAAGCTGGATCTATTGCTTTGGGCCTGAGTCAAGGGAGAATATCATGGCGTCAGGGACATGTGACAGATGCTGCTCATCTATTGGCAGCTAGGAATCAGAGAGGGACTGAGGAGGGCCTACATTATTATTATTATTATTACATTCCTACAGTAATGATCTACTTTCCTTAACTAGTTCTAGCCTCAGAACCTTTCCTCCTAATAATGCCATCAAATTATTAATCATCAATGGAGGAATCCATCAACTAGGACAGAGTCCTCGGGATCCATTAACCACTCAAATGGCTGGATCCACCAGGTGTGTACTAAGCCTTCAACATATAAGCCTTTTAGAGAGACAGTTCGTATCCAAACCATAACAATAATAGAGTCTCATTTTTCATAATTCTGATAGTGTAGTCAATAATCCATCAAACTATTGATTGATAATTAGTGTTTCCATTACAATATTGATGAATATAATTCACTCAATATATTATTGAACATGTACTGTGTTCCAAATACATTGATGACAGTGAAGACTGGAAAGCCAAAATTACTTCCCTTGAGGGACCTGTAATTCAGTGGATAATGATAATTAATAACATAAGATGAATTTTTAAATTTCCAAATGAGTGTCACCAAAAGTAAAATCTCCATGCTCCCTGACAGTAATTTATCAAGCTTTTTTTTTCCCCTTTTGGTGAGACTAGGTTTTGAACTCAGAGATTCATGCTTACAAAGCAGCTTGAGCCACACCTCCACTCCATTTTGCTCTGTTTATTTTTGGAGATGGGGTCTTGAGAACTATTTGCCTTGCTGGGCTTGAATCACAATTCTCCTGATTTCAGCCTCCTAAGTAACTTGTATTATAGGCATGAGCCACCAGTACCAGTCTTCTCCAATTTTTGTGAACAACTAAATAAATGTAAAACAACTTATTCACTATTTCCATTTTATAACATAGTTGCAAGCAGAAATGAAAATAAATGATGTTACTGGCAAGGTCTCTAAAGTTATTTCACTTAAGTCATTTACAACACACACACATACACACACACTCACATATTATCTGTGTGTCATGCTGCAAAGTTATTAGAAGTTTCTATAACATAATAGTAAACACTTAAAAACGATAAACTGAATCAAATTATGGTAGATCTAGGATCCAGATTCTTGGTGGGGGGAAAAAGAAAGCTGATTTTGTTAATATGCATTGATTCAATCTCTTACACTACAGTTTTATAAATACATTATAAAATCTTATTAAGCCACCAAAATATGTAACTTAATTGCTCTTTTCCTGAAGAAAACAATGATAGAAAAACATACATGGCATGTTGTTTTTCAAGTAGTTATTTGAAGAGGTACAAAAGAAAGATTAGAGAATCAAATTTATCAATAGATGAATGATTTTCATTAATTCTATGAGACCATTCAAAGAGGCACACTGAGATGTCATATTATGTAGGTGTATAAATACATTTTCTAGTTCTTATGATCTGTTTAAGTGCTTCTTTTAGGGTCCAGATAATATTTTGAGATGCTCAACATGATTCTTAGTGATTTAAAACAAGTGAAACCATTATTGAGACTATCCTCAAGATGAATTTGAGCTTTGTGTTTTTCAGATATTCCTGAACAAGTTACTTAGTTTTTTAGTTTGTTCCCAAACTAAATTCCCAAAATGACCAAAAGGAGTTAAGAGATCAGAAAACAATACTTGGTTGTTCAGTCTAGAATCATTTTTCAAACATAAGGAAGGGAAGCTAGGCTTGAGGGATGAAGGGAGAAGGATGGAGTCAGTGTTCACATTCTTCTTTAATTTTTAGGGCTTTTTTGGTTGCTTAGGTAAGCTGACATAGTTGTTGTTAGTCCTAGAGCTCACATGGCTCAGAAATATAAAGTGGTCGACATATCCTCAATTCATTATAACTCTCCTCTTAATGACTCTAATTTACCTTGGTAACACACATATCTACTGATGGCCTGCTCTGTTACCAGGAGCATGTTTCATTGAATCACTCATTGAAATAATCCATCTGATCAAATTTCTGGAAATCCTTCAGTATGACAGGACCTGTGGATGAACAAGAGTTTATCAAATTTATTAACAACGAGTAGTGATCAACAAATAAGTAGGCCAACCTCTAAGAAAATTTACATTGTTATATAACAAAGCTCCTACTTGACATTTAGGCAGTGGAGTGGAGTTCTCATCTGAGTTATCATTTAGAAAATAAGGGTGGCAGTTTTGGAATCAGTGATTTTTAAAAATTATCTCTTTGATCCTATTAGATATCTCACACTAGAACTAGTATATAATAGCTAAATAAATTCTGTTGGTCACTTCTGGGTTGTGAATTGGGATCCATGCAAAACAAACACAAAACATAATGACAGTTTTTCCTAGTGTTTCCAGACTATGGTCTTTGCAATTCTAACATAAGCTTTGATTTAGCTTGCAACTTCCAGTATTCAAACATCTGTTCATTGTTTCATGTGTACTCCATGCTTCACTTCCTGTTCATTAAGGCCTTTTGTTTTGGATATCTAAAAGAAATTTGCTGTCCAAAGGCAAAATACTAATGAACATTGAGACTACGGATTCATTATACCATTATCTCCACTGTTGAAAAATATCCACAATACAAGGTCAAAAACAAAGAAAATCCTAGAAGGAAAGAAATGCTATTTCATAAACAAAAAAGTCTGACATTGACTTTTAACTTGACAGGAAGAGAGATATTTACAGGAAGACTGAGCAAGGCTAGTTGTGTGCCTTCTGTCCATTTAAAAACACATGTACTTTTGCTCTATGAGTTCTGCATGCATTTCAGCTTTTATACAAAACACAATCAGTGTCCTGTGGTTTCTGAGTTTTCTGGAAGGAATAATGTCAGATAAACCTTGACTAACCTTGAAATCATAACTATTCAATTCACCCATTTCTATATTATGGTAATTGTTAGCTTAAATTTCAAATTCCATGGGCTTGTGTTGTTTCTTTTTAGCACATCATTTATACTGGGGTCCAGATGTTTCCTTTAGATTAGGTTAGGGCTTCTTATTTCCTTCCCTTTTTTCTCCTATGATACATTTTTGCTAATACATTCTTCAAGGGACATTATAGTGTAGAGACCTTGAGCTGAAATTTGGGCTTCCTTGTCTCAGGAGAAAGGAAGTTCTAAGTTAAAAAGTATGGAAAAGGAAAAAAAAAAAGGAAACAAACACATTGTATACTAGATGAGGCTAAGGAAAAAATAGACAACATTCTTGAATTTAAGCATGATCTTAATGTGGAAGGAAAAGAAAAAGAATAATGTCTCATGGGAAGATGCTTTAATTAGAATTGTAAGTTTAGTTATTTTAATATTTTTAAAATAATTCTCCATTAGAATATGGCTAAGTATTTCCATGGCTTAATGGTCTTGTATAATTAAAATTATCAGTCATATATTATTCAAGGGGAAAATATAAACACTGATAATGTTATTCACTATGTTTCTTTTGATGTAAGTTTTGCTGTGTATGATTAAAAAGAAAAAATGTACAAACCAAAGATAGTTAAGATTGTATTGACACTATTAAATCAGGTCCTAAGAATTTATCATCTTTCTGCTTCATTTTACAAATTACAATATTAAAGTTCAGTATATGTTTCTTATATTATAAGTACAATATATGTTTCTTGAGGAAGAACTTTTCAGTGAGGTCCTGGAACATGGAAAAAACAATTTTCCCTTACTGGTCAGCCATATAGTGGCCAAAATGACAAGTCTGTGATTATAAAGTTTAAAAAGAAAGCTTAGTTTGGCCTCTTGAATTCATTTATCACTCACTAAAAATGCATTCTCCCACTTATCTTATAAGTGGGAGAATCAGTGTTCAGCTCAGGTCTCCTTGTTCAGAATTATTTTATTTTCAAGTTTTCCTATTACAGTAGAAGCATAGCTTTTGACAACACAATTAGTATTTTAAAAAGTTATTTTTTTTTAATTTGTTTTCCTATCTACCTAAATGTCAACTAGTGCATCATTTAATTTTCAAATTGATTGGATTGTTATTAAGGGTTCTTGATTTCATGAAAACTCTTCACAGGTAGTTATGTAATGTTTTTTGCTTGAAAAATAACATTATTTTCAAGATCTCATTAGTTTTCAAACAGTATACTTCCAAAAAAGCAAAATGAATGCATAGCATCTTTTTTTAAAACAAAATGCTATAATTTAAAGGTGAAAGTCAACTTTTTGAAGTCTTTTTAAAAATTATTTATATACAGTATATAAATAAATTCTTTGCATACCTTTAAATACTCATTATCTCTTTTGAAATGCATTTTTAGGGAGTGATAAATGAATTCAAGAGGCCAAACTAAGCTTTCTTTTTAAACTTTATAATCACAGACTGGTCATCTTGGCCACTATATGGCTGACCAGTAAGGGAAAATTGTTTTTTCCATGTTCCAGGACCTCACTGAAAAGTTCCTCCTCAAGAAACATTCATTGTTGATGGAATGAGATTGATAAAAGACCCTAAGATAAAACTGAAATCTATAGTTCAAGCAGAGAACCTATCAACACCACACCAAATGGCAAGGCTGGAGGTTAAAACTAGAGAAGTGTTCAGATTAAAAAATAGAAACTGGCAAGCAGCTTTGTTTCACAGGCTGCAGAGTTCAGAGGCCAGCGGATGCAGGCTGATTTCTCATATATTTTTAATGGTAACCTCTGTCAGTAATTAGGTAAAGTGATTTAGGAAAGTTTTCTTTCCTTCCTGCTGGATTTGTCTTCATCAAGAATAACCTGTGCTCTTGATGTTGGCTTCCCACTCCCTAACTCCATTCTGCGTGTGCATGCATATGTACACAAGGATGCACACACACACACACACACACACACACACACAGAAGTATTTAAATTAAAGGAAAGAAATTACATGATTGCATACTCAACAATTTATTGGTGTCCACCTGATGGCCAATTAGTAACACACCAGGCAAATCACACACCATTTATATTTCTGAAATCTTCTTTCACTTAAAAATGCATAGAGGGCTCCATCCTGTATATTCTTACTCTTTTTGGCAGCTGTTGCAATATTTCAAGGAATGTTAAAGAAAAAGTGTCTTCCTGTGCCATGATCATGAAGTGTTCGGTTGCAGGGACTCAGGGTCAAAATCACAGTAGAGACTCACGTCAGATGTTCTCCTGAATGTGCAGTCCTGAAATTAATGTACAAGGAGAACAGGTGAGATCGGTAAAGACTTCTCCATGATTACTTGGCTATGGTGGATTTGATCTGTTCAGAGTTCAGACATTTGACCTTTTGTCAAACTATGACCTAGCAAATCTTCTATGCTTTGACCTTTATATTTTATCTGGCACTTTGGGGCTGACATGTAATAAATCTAGACTTTCCTTAAAATGCTTCCGTTTAAGCCTACGCACGTTCCAGTCAGATTTGAGATAGTCTATATGTACATATAGATAATTTAGTCAGTCTGGTTCACGTAAGTGTGCTTTAAAAGGCAAGCAAAGTGAAGCAAAACAAAACACATAACTTTTATTTTAAAAAGCAAACTAATACTATCAGTGAAAGCCCTAATATTAATTTGCAGGAACCTCTAAAATGCTTGCCGATGTATTCAAGATTCTGAACCGATTAGGAAGTTAAGATAATAGGGTCTGGCGTGGTGGCATATATCTGTAATGCAAGCACTTGGAAAGCTAAGGCAAGAGAATCATGAGTTCTAGGTCAGCCAGGGCTACATAGTGAGATTCTGTCTCAAACAACAACAAAAAGGAAAAACAAAAATGTTAGAATAATAAACTTGAATTAAAACCTGTTGTTCATGTATTCATTATATGCTAATTTTGGTTAATAAGAATCCACCAAAAGTTAAAAAATTGACATGAAATAAAGAACAAAAAGCTGTTATTGATAACATTTCTAAGACATATCACATCATCAAACAAAAGGCAAAGATTAATACGACTGAATTTGACTCATAACATTTAGGAATCTATCTCTAGATTGATTCCTAAATCTATTTAGGCAGTGCCTAAATTTGATAATATGTCAAACAAGCATGGATAGAAAATACAGGTTTTCTTTATTATCTAATAAAAGTAATGAGATATTAAGTATTTGAAACTGATCCCACACACGAATATAAAAACAGCTTGCTATATAAATATTATTGCTTTTAAGCTCTATGCCAAAAATGTTTCAGTTTCGATAGATAGGAAATCTATATGATGATTTCTTACTGTATGTTGAGTCACCTGCTGAATCACAGATCTGATCATTGATTATAATATGTAATCAGTAATAAGGTTCATGCATTTGACATGACTATCCCTTATCTTCCTCTAACCATGACCATTACAAACAATATAAAAGTATTTTTTACTGGTGGCTTGGTGATACCCAAAAGGAATGGTGTGGCAAAAAACAAACTGATTTTTAAGCTGTGAGTTCCAAGATAAAGTGCACAAGTCTGCCAATCTGAGAATAAGGAAATAGAAAAATAATGAGCAATAGGGACAGGAAAAGTTTAAAATAATAATAATAGTAACAACCGGTACAAAGGTAGCATGAGTGCCTTAAATATGGTTTCAAGTATTACAAATCTCAGACACTAATAATTTTGAAGGAATATGGAAAATAACAAAGCAAAGGGAAATGAACAGATTGTACATTGTAACTGTACCACCCTATCTCAAATTTCTAGTATCTCTCCAATCCTTAGTTAACATGTACCTTGACCAAGCCCTCCACTACTGTGATGTTTCCTTATTCCTTTCTTTTTTCCCCTTTTAAAAATGATTTCCTACTTCTTGAACCAGGGGATCTCTGGGAACACTGCCTTTCTTTCTGTAGCTCTGTGTCCAGGGCCTCCAACATGCTCTGTACACTGCTTGCTTTGCATAGAAGCCAATTGCTGTCCCTTTCCACATGTTCAAATCCTGCTGAATTTTCAAGTATAATATGGTGATATCTCTTTATTTCTTAATCAGTCTCTGAGGTCTCAAAACAATTTATACATATCATAGTTTTATAAATAGCTAAGTTCTATGATAACTCTCTACTTTTATTATAGTGAAGCAGTTTACTACAACCAAAGATTTTTCATGTTCAGAGATTAATAATAGTAAAGATGGAAAATGTATCTGCTCCAATTTCTATTTTAAAATCAATTTGGAATTTAACTATTTGAAAAAATAAGTCAACATTAGCCTGTGATCCTAACTACTTAGGAGACTGAGATTGGGAAGATTGTAGTTTGAGGCCAGCCTGGACAAAAAAAAATGTTCATGAGACCCCACTTCAGTTAATACCAAATAGCTGGGCACCCACCTGTCAATAATAGCTGAGGCTACCTCAGGAAGTATAAAATAGGAGAATGGAGGTCCAGGCTGGCCTGGGCAAAAAGTGAGACCCTATCTCGAAAATAACCAGAGACATGGCACAAGTGGTAGAGTGCCTGTTCTGCAAATGTAAAACCCTGAGTTCAAACTCCACCCTAGCAAGAAAGAAGGCCTGAGTTCAAAGCCCAACACAGCCAAAACAAACAAATAAACAAACAAAGACAACAAAAAAGCTTTAGATCCTCAGATCCTTTTGGTGAGCTTCCATTCGGTTTATCAAAACTAAACACTGTCAGTTGTAAGGACAGTTTTCAAGACTATTCAATTTTATTTATTTAATTTTAATTTTTCTCCTTTTATTTTATCATTTTTACATTTACTTACATGTATATATATTGTTTATGTCCTCTCCCCCTCCTCCCCCCACTATTCAATTTTAAATTATTGTTCTTATTTGTAAAACTGTTTTATGTACCATTGATTAGAAATATTGAGAAATAAAAGGATATTGACGATCACAGGTGAAAGTACCAAAATATATCTGTCATCTCGTCCAGTTATCTCTCTCTCTCTCTCTCTCTCTCTCTCTCTCTATATATATATATATATATATACATACATATTTATATATGTATATATATGTGCAATTTTGCAAAAATACTATCCTTATCAGATTTGAAAACTGCATTGAATTGACTAGAATGCCAATAAAATATGGAGAATTCTCTAGCATTTCCAAACCAATGATGGAAAAGAAAATGTACTATCATACACATTAAATCTTTTGTTTACTGATATAAACATAGGTCATATTCAAATGGAACTACTAATAAAGAATTTCTTTATTTAGCAACTTACAAACATTTCATAATTAAAATTTATAAATCTAAAAATAATATGGTACATTTTAAAAGTGTGAAATGTAAAAAGTTAAATAGCAATTAATGAAAGGTTTATCTGTATTTGATAAAAATTAGTTGAATTTTAATTTACTTTTCACTATATATTTAGTAATTCAACATGATACATAAAAATTAATTTACGCATTACTTAATTATACATTTTATTATCTAGTTATTTGATGGCTAAACTTCCTCATTAGTTAAAAATCAAATTTACTTCTCTATTATGGCTATTATTAAATAATACATGATCTTTGTTAACTATTACAGTTAAAACTATAACTACCTATAATGTTAAAAATCAACACTTTCAATTCTTTTCTTTTGAGATAGAGCTCACTTTTTGTCCTAGGCTGGCCTTGAACTCATGGTCCTTCTGCCTCCTTCTCCTAAGTACCCAGATTACACACTGAAATGAACATTATTTTTAAACACTAGAGCATTTATATATAACTATAAAAAGGGACCACAGTCAAAAAATTTTTTACAAATGCTGTTATATAAAAACAATTAAAAACTGATAATAAATTATTGCTTTATATTCACACAGAAATTTGATGTATTAGTAAATAAGTATATGAGTAAAATACACAGGTAGAAGGAGGATTGGATAGCTAGATTTGTCACAGGATATTTGAATGTAAAGCCAGAAAGACCTGGTTTGAATGCTGATACTGCCACTCGTGAGCTGTAGGACCCAAGGAAAGACATTTAACCACACAAATCTTAGAGCCCAAGGTTGCTATAAAAATAATAAATACAATAACATCTCTGATATCTGTGCGTCTCTCTTGTGCAGTTTTTGTCTTACTTGCATGCTCTGTGTTACATGTAGTTTCAACTTGCATGATACACACGTGTCTACAATCTGTGTTGAAATGTTGGGGATGGAGATATGAGTCCTGAAAGTTGGTACTTCTTCCCGGTTGTCCTGTGTGTAGTCCTCATTTATCTATATTCAACTGCACTTTTTTCACAGTGTCATTATCTATCAGACTAAGGGCTTTGTCTTCCATCTCATCTATATCTTTTATAATATATATTCCACCAAATTTCAAAACTTTGAAAAAGTATTTATGAAATTTGACCTAATGAACAATTGATAAATATTCTAGCATTAATCTGATTAGTGGAAAAAATTGTATATTATCACCTACAGATTTTTCGCAAGCTCAGTAAATCTTCCTATTGCTCTCCTGCTTCAATCTTGAAATCATTAGCACCATGAAAGTTTCTTCTGTTATATTTGTTTAGATCATCTACTAATTAACCAAAAACTGTAGACATCTCAGTTCCTCACTGAGTGTGCTTCCTCACTATTTCTCACAAACCTAACAATACTGTTATAAAAAGAGGAAATGGACTGGCATTACATTTAAATATTACCCATTAAATAGTGATAAAATTTTATAGTGATATTAATTTTAGAATCAGAAATTGCATTAAAATAGGAAGAAATGTCTTAAAATTATGCAGATTTCTTGATAAGGAGCAGAGATTTGCATTGCATGATTTTTGTTACAGCAATCCCTGATTGATATAAGACTATATTTGTTTCCAATTTATGACATAACTCTAATGAAAATTGGTTTGTGGGATTAGTAGCATGCTAATTTTTAAATATCCATGGCTAGCATTATTTATATAACTTTTTCTAAATTTAAATAAAATAATCTGTTCAAGATGGCTATAAGAATCACAATAATCTTTAATGCTGAGAACAATAGCTACTAGATTTAAAATAACACTATTTCCTTTTTTAAAGAAAGAATTGGAATCTCCAATAGCTGTGCCAATTCCACCAAAGTAAATACACATGTCTCTATCAGTTCTTCAGAATATGACCCAAATATAACCAACTTTGGTTAACCTTGATTTAAAATAATAAATGTGGGAGGCAGAATTCTTTGAATACTCTTAACATTACTGCTCTCTGGCATACCTTATTATAGGTGGGACTATTAGTAGGATAAATCTGACTCCTGTGATTAGGGATTGGATATGGTTTGAGAGTGTCCCCCAAGTGTTTATGAGCTTGGGCATATTACAAGGTGGTAGAGTTTATAAGAGGTGGGGCCTAGTGGAAGGTAGTTCAGTCATTGGGACATCTGTGCCAGAATGGATTGATGTTGGCCTTACAGAGTGAGTATTCTCTTATGAGACGAACTGTTATAAAAGAATAAGCCTGACCCCCTCCCTACTGTCTAGCTGTCTATCTCATGATCTAATGTCCTGGCATATTCTCGGTATTGTGATGCCATTTTCTAGGATGAGGCAAAGTCAGACAAGGGCCAGGGTGTGGGAGAGCCAGAGCTATGCTGTTTGTACTACTGGCCTCTGAAACTATGAGCTAAATAAACCTCTTATCTTTATATGATGTCCAGCCTCAGGTATTCTGAATAGTAATGGAAAACAGATGAATATAGTATGGTTTGTAAATGCAAAGAGATTTTGCAGACCTTGAACTAATTAGAGGGGATTCTTGAAAAAGGAAGCAGGGATTTAAAGTGTGAGAGACTCTTCTGCTGGTTGTCAGGGAGTAAGATGCTATATTGTGAGAAAGCCTCATAACTAGGAACTGAGAACTGCCTCAAGGGACTACTGTTTAATAGCCAACATGAAGCAGGAACCTCAGTCCTATAGGTGTATGGAGTGCCATTGATCTAAAGAGGACCCCAAGCCTCAGGGAACTTTGATTTCAACTTTCTAGCTGACTAGAAGAACACCTAGCCACTCCATGCCTAGACATCTGACACACAGAGCTGTGGGTGTTGCTTTAAATTGTGAAGTTTGTGGTAAGTTTTTATGCTGTATTAAAAAACTAGTACATTAGAGGAGTTCCTTTTTTAAACTATTAATTCCTATCATTTTCCATATTAAAAAAAATAATGTAAAAACTACACATAAGACTATAGGGTTTGCATTCTTCACAGTTATTTGTTCGTGGAATTAAGGTTCGATGTTCATTTCTGAACATTTTTAGTTGTGGGTAATGCAATTTAAAAAATACAAAACAAAAAGCTTTGTTCAACTAGCCAGAAAATACATTTGCTCTACTTTCTACTTGTTATTTTTCTTCCCCTTTGGGAATGCTATATATTGAACTCAGTGCCTCATCCTTGTACTCTACCATTTGAGCCACAGCGGTAGATCTTTTGCTTTTAGTCTGTTTTTCAGATAGGGTTTCTTGCTTTCATTCAGGCTGGCCTCGGACCTCAATCTTCTTATCTCCACCTCTAAGTGGCTGGGATTATAAATACACACCACCATACTTGGATGTGCTGAGTACTCTTTCTAAACAGTGTGGATATGGCAGTGAATAACAGAGTAAAATCTTCCTGGCCTTAAGGAAGTTACATTTTCATAGGGAGGGTAAATATTATTTTAAAAATACAAAACAAATTAATACATGGTAAATAGGGAGCATAATAAATGCAGTGAAGTGGGGTTAGAAGGTAGAGTTTGATGAGAGACTGTTATGGTGAACAGTGGCTTAGGAGAAAGAATGTTTGCACAGAGATACTGAATGAAGACAAGGAACAGAGCTAGGACTCCAGTGTCTGTGGAAGAGGAGCCTAGGTAGTAAGAACTGCCAGCTCACAGACAGAATGCAGTTTGACATATTCTAGGAAGCTGCAGTGTAGTCTGGCTGAACATATGATGTGAGCAGAGGAAGAGATAACGATGGAGAAATGATTAAAGGTCAAGTCATGGAAGTCTTATAGATTTTGACTCTTTGAAGACCATCTCTTCTACTGAACCTTTTATCAAAGTGTTTTAGGGACCCTGTCCATTTTTTTTTTACTTTTTTTTTCTTTATTGTTGTCTTGAATTCACCCCCTCCACCACTCTCCTTTATCCTCCACTTCCCCCATTCCTAGAACAGTTTCAACAGGTATCATTTTTGCATTTAGATACATTTGCACCATATTCATCTTCCTACTCCCTTTCCCCACCACCTCCCCCTCCCACTGGTGCAAAACTTCCTCCCCACCCCCCAACAGAACCTGTTTGGCCCTCCTGTTCCCCGATTTTGTAGAAAAAAAAAAGAAAAAAGAAAAGAAAAACATGATGTTTTTGCTTGCTTGAGATAAGGATACACAGGGAATTTCCATGTGATATTTCCATGCATATATGTATTACAAACCCAACTGGCAAAATAGACCCTGTCCATTTTAATGTATAAAATGTTTAATGTTTAATGTATAATGTATATCTTTAAAACATTTTATTAGCATAAATTAGTTGTTGGGGTTTTATTGCATTTACACATGCATATAATGTTCTTTGATCAAATTCACCCATGTGAAAATGGGTGTCTTTTTTACAAAGATCTACTCAATCTAGTTATCTCAGGGTTCAGGGCATGAAGGAATTTGATGTCTCCTGAAGACTGCAAAGTTTTCTTTTATCTGAGGAAAGCTTTGAAACAGTGCAGCTCCCTTGTGGTCCTGGTTCCAGGAGACATAAAGCTTGAGCTCCAGTGCAATAGTCTTGAGCTAAGGCGTTAGGTGAATCCATCTCACCTCCTTCTCAGTTGTTTTCTTTGTCACTTGTTTCATGTGTCCATTTACTTTATGATGCTTATTATGTTGCTTAAAATATCTCTTTAAAATAGGTATAATAAAGAAATTTCAAAACTACCTCATTTGCCAGTATAGGACCCTTCTTTAAAAAATATAGCTCATATTAAATATATTTAATAAGAAATTATTTAATACCCAAGAACTGTAGATTAAATAAAATAAATAAATGCTCAGTTTTGCCAATGCAGTTAAATACATATGCTATGTACTATAAAATAACATTTAAAATGACAGGTAAAATAAGGCCTGATCCTTAATACTATAAGAAGTTAATGCAGAAAGCGCTTTTGTGGGGTTAGAGAACTGAGGAAGACATCACACCAACATGCTTGCATTGACTCTTGAAGTAAGACTACTGAGTTCTGCTGAATATGGGAATGTGAGATGTAAACAGCACAAAACTAAAGGATGCTTTTCATGTTGTACATGTGGTAAGATAATTCCTATGATGCATTATACATATGTTCTCTATCATATATAGTGGGAATGTATATTTTCTTGCATATTGCAGAGCAATGTCTTAATGAAGTGACTTCTTTCATTTGCACAGTTATCATATGAGTCTATGATAGCACTAACAATTTTTTAAATGTTAATTTGGATTTAATATGACTGGGATGGAATTAGATGTGGTATTTTATTTAAAGTTTTCATGTGTACACAGCTTGTTAGCCATTATTTAATTTGGATAGTAACATTTAAGTAGAGAATGAAAATTCTAGCTAGCAGAAATATTTGAGGGGCTGGTAGAGTGGCTCAAGTGGTAGAGTGCCTGCTCGGCAAGTGTGAGACCCTGAGTTCAAACCTCAGTACCTGCAAAAAAAAAAATTGAGTGGTGAGAGATGCTACATGGGCAATTTCATAGAAGAGCAGACTTGGCACAGGAATAATGATAGCTGAGGGCTTGGAATACTGGTCTAAGGAGGCTAAATTCTACTGTTTAGGCAATAATAAAAATTACTAATATTCTATTTTAAATAGATAATAAAATCTAACTTATGTTTTGGAATATTCATCTGATAATTGAGAAGGGAGAAAATCTCCATGAAGAGAGATCAACAATGAGCCACAGCAATAGTCTAAATAGGTGGTGAATGAAACGTGACTTAGATGGGAACAGTGAAAATCAAACACAGGAGACATATGGAAAATTTATGGTGAAGTCAGAGTTGTGAGAAATTAGAAGATGATTGGAGAGTTTTAAGCTGATAACAGAAGTGTGGTGATGTAATTTATAGAGAAATTGGCAGCATACACTTAGATTAGGAAGTAGAGACATATGTCTATGTCTATTTAGAGATGTCCACAGAACATAAGCATGCAGTAACACCACAAGGAATCATACCAGAGTATTTGAGAGCTCTAGATGTGGACATGTGGACATTTGGGCCCAAGGTAGGCCACATTGAGTACTATGAAAAATTATGTTAAGGCCAGGCACTGTGGCTCGCTCCTGCTACTTGGGAGACTGAGATTGGGAAGATTGTACTTTGAGGTCAACTGGGGCAAAAAAAAATAGTGAGACTCCATGTCAATCAATAAGCAGTACCTGCTGGAGCATACCTGTGTTCTTAGATATGCAGGAAGCCATAGGTAGGAGGATCGTGGTCCAGGCTGGTCCAGGCTGGTCCTGGCAAAAATGCAGACACTCTACCTGAAAATAACTAAAGTGAAAAAGGCCTAAGGAAGTGGCCCAAGTGGTAGAGAACCTGCCTAGCAAGCATAGCCCTGAGATCAAACCCTACTGCTGCCAAAAACTTTTTTCTTAACTTTTCTAAACTTCCACTTAAATTTTATTTATATTACCTCAAGTCAAAAAAGTTAAACAGGATAATAGACATTGTACTAAGGCACTGAAAAATTTCAAAAAAATGTGAACTAATTTTACTATTTATTATAGAATTTATAGATCAAGAAATAGATTTTGGAATTAATAGTGCAGTTACAAAATTAAGCCCAGAGAGATAATTGCATTACCAAGGAAGAGAAAAAATGGAGGAAGAGAAAAGAAAGAGAAAATGTAGGAAAGAAAAGAAAAGGACATTGAAAGATACTTACATTTAGAACACAGAGCAAAAGGAACTCAAAAAGTAAATAGGTACTTACCTTTTTTTGGTAAGTATCTGATCTTTATGTGAAAAAGATATGCAAAGCATGGTGTAAAGTCTGACTTCTCAGTCCAAGAGATTTGCTGACACTGTTTGATTCACCTGAGGAGTGTGTCCGACTTAATCTTCCTGTGTTGCTCTTGAAGAAAACAAGGTGGAATTACTGTTAACTACATACTGCTTTGTACAATTGCTCACCAAGAAAGTTCATAAGTATTGTGTTTGAACTTTGCTCTTAATTACTTGCTAACAGAAAAAATGTTTTATAAACAAAATGCTGTACATGGTGGCAATAATTATAACAAGCCCAGGCTCTGTGCTTGATTTAAAAGCCAGTGGGACATCTGCTTGGCTGCTACCATAATTGGCTACCAGCCTGTTGTTTTGTTGTGTTGGAAGAGGGACTGTATGTTCTGTGGATATTATTTGCTTGTGGTCCAGAGGGACCTAAGTTTCCATTAGATTACAAGCTCTATACACATAGCCAGATGTGTTAAAACTCTTGTACAATTTCTCCAAGTGATGCTTAATACTTTTTGAGTATTGGGTTTCTTTTTGTTTCCTGTGGTCCTTGCTCTGTGAAAATTATCTTCTTAGACTCAGTCTATGGTACCATTTGTTATGCTGTGACTCCACAGCATAGCCTTGTGAAAGCTTCCTATCATAACCAAACTAAACAGATTTGTTCCTGAACTGTCAGGATGTGAGATTCAGGGTGATCAAGAATGTTTATACTAAAAAAACAGTACTTATAAATAACTTTCACGCATCCTCTCATGTACTTCAAATCATCCTTAGATTCCTTATAATTCTTATATAATAACTAATATTATAATAATGTCAATAGTTGCATCATTTAGAGAATAGTGACAAGAAAAAGTCTGTATATGTTCAGTATACTTGCAATTTTTTTTTCAACTGTTTTCCATCCATGGTTGGTTGAATCCACAGACATGGTACTGAGAACTAATGGTATGGACATTGTAACATCACCACTCACTCATGTTCACATTGGTTTCATGTGCTTATTCACTCTTTCACTCAGAAAATAGATTTTCAGCACCTGCTACTGGGCAGTCACCTTAACTAGATGTGTTTTCATGTGTTATCTAAAGACCAAGTGTTTATCTTATAGAATATTTTCTGTAATAATTTCAATTTAAAGACTTTTTCAAATAATCTTATTTTCTTTTCTTCACACACTACTACTGCTTTTAAAGCCTATTAGTTTTACTTCAGAATATTTCTTAAATCCATGTTTATTTTCCGTTGTTTTTATACCCATTTTAGGCCAAGTTACCCTTACATTAAGCAATAGTAGTCTTTCTAATTTCTCTACACCCATTTTTTATATCATTTTTGCATTTACTCACATGTGTATATATTGTTTGGGCCACCTCCCCAGCCCCCACCCCGGGCAGGGACAGTGCTTGATGCATAAGGCTTATTCCTAAAATACCATGACAATATTGGTTTTGGTAATTTGACAAATAGCCATTTTTTTTTCTGAGATGATGGATTCTACTGGTAACAGAACACTTTTATTTACAAAGTTGTAAGGCTAGAATCTATCAGTTTTCCTCAAAGCCATTCAGTAAAAGAAGTATTAATTGAAAATATTAAACAACTCAAAACATCAGAGCTAAATGATTCTTTTGTAGTTTCTCAGTTTAGTTTTTTTTAATTTTATTGTTTTATTATTCATATGTGCATACAAGGCTTGGGTCATTTCTCCCCCATGTCCCCACCCCCTCCCTTACCACCCACTCCCCCCTCCCTCTCCCCCCCACCCTCAATAACCAGCAGAAACTATTTTGCCCTTATCTCTAATTTTTGTTGAAAGAGTATAAGCAATAATAGGAAGAACAAGGGTTTTTGCTTTGAGATAAGGATAGCTATACAGGGAGTTGACTCACATAATTTCCTGTGCATGTGTGTTACCTTCTAGGTTAATTCTTTTTTGATCTAACCTTTTCTCTAGTTCCTGGTCCCCTTTTCCTATTGGCCTCAGTTGCTTTAAGGTATCTGCTTTAGTTTCTCTGCGTTAAGAGGCAACAAATGCTAGCTAATTTTTTAGGTGTCTTACCTATCCTCACCCTCCCTGTGTGCTCTCGCTTTTATCATGTGCTCAAGTCCAATCCCTTGTTGTGTTTGCCCTTGATCTAATGTCCGCATATGAGGGAGAACATACGATTTTTGGTCTTTTGGGCCAGGCTAACCTCACTCAGAATGATGTTCTCCAATTCCATCCATTTACCAGAATGATAACATTTCGTTCTTCTTCATGGCTGCATAAAATTCCATTGTGTATAGATACCACATTTTCTTATCCATTCGTCAGTGGTGGGGCATCTTGGCTGTTTCCATAACTTGGCTATTGTGAATAGTGCCGCAATAAACATGGGTGTGCAGGTGCCTCTGGAGTAACCTGTGTCACAGTCTTTTGGGTATATCCCCAAGAGTGTATTGCTGGATCAAATGGTAGATCAATGTTTAGCTTTTTAAGTAGCCTCCAAATTTTTTCCAGAGTGGTGTACTAGTTTACATTCCCACCAACAGTGTAAGAGGGTTCCTTTTTCCCGCATCCTCCAACACCTGTTGTTTGTGTTGCAATGATGGCTATTCTAACAGGGGTGAGGTGGAATCTTAGTGTGGTTTTAATTTGCATTTCCTTTATTGCTAGAGATGGTGAGCATTTTTTCATGTGTTTTTGGCCATTTGAATTTCTTCTTTTGAGAAAGTTCTGTTTAGTTCACTTGCCCATTTCTTTATTGGTTCATTAGTTTTGGAGAATTTAGTTTTTTAAGTTCCCTATATATTCTGGTTATCAGTCCTTTTCTGATGTGTAGCTGGCAAATATTTTCTCCCACTCTGTGGTGTTCTTCAGTTTAGAGACCATTTCTTTTGATGAACAGAAGCTTTTTAGTTTTATGAGGTCCCATTTATCTATGCTATCTCTTAGTTGCTGTGCTGCTGGGGTTTCGTTGAGAAAGTTCTTACCTATACTACTAACTCCAGAGTATTTTCTACTCTTTCCTGTATCAACTTTAGAGTTTGGGGTCTGATATTAAGATCCTTGATCATTTTGAGTTAATCTTGGTATAGGGTGATATACATGGATCTAGTTTCAGTTTTTGCAGACTGCTAACCAGTTTTCCCAGCAGTTTTTGTTGAAGAGCTGCTATTTCTCCATCCGTATATTTTAGCTCCTTTGTCAAAGACAAGTTGGTTATAGTTGTGTGGCTTCATATTTGGGTCCTCTATTCTGTTCCACTGGTCTTCATGTCTGTTTTTGTGCCAGTACCATGCTGTTTTTATTTTATTGCTTTGTAATATAGTTTGAAGTCAGGTATTGTGATACCTCCAGCATTGTTCTTTTGACTGAGTATTGCCTTGGCTATTCGTGGCCTCTTGTGTTTCCATATAAATTTAAGGTAGATTTTTCAATCTCTTTAATGAATGTCATTGGAATTTTGATGGGAATTGCATTAAAACATGTAGATTACTTTTGGGAGTATAGACATTTTTACTATGTTGATTCTACCAATCCATGAGCATGGGAGATCTCTCCACTTTCTATAGTCTTCCTCAATCTCTTTCTTCAGAATAGTTTTCCTTGTAGAGGTCTTCACATCTTTTGTTAGGTTTACACCTAGGTATTTGATTTTTTTGAGGCTATTGTAAATGGAATTGTTTTTCATATATTCTTTCAGTTTGCTCATTTAGTGTATAGAAATGCTAATGATTTTTCTATGTTGATTTTATATCCTGCTACCTTGCTGTAGCTATTGATGATGTCTAAACTTCTGAGTAGAGTTTTTGGGTCTTTAAGGTATAGGATCATGTCTCTGCAAATAGGGATATTTTGACAGTTTCTTTACCTATTTGTATTCCTTTTATTCTTTCTTCTTGCCTAATTGCTCTGGCTAGGAATTCCAGTACTATGTTGGATAGGAGTGGAGATAGTGGGCATCCTTGTCTGGTTCCTGATTTTAGAGGGAGTGGTTTCAGTTTTTCTCCATTAAGTATAATGCTGGCTGTAGGTTTGTCATATATAGCTATTATAATGTTGAGGTACTTTCCTTCTATTCCTAGTTTTCTTTGAGCTTTTATCATGAAATAGTGTTGGATCTTATCAAAGGTTTTTTTCTGCATCTATTGAGATGATCAAGTGTTTTTTGTCTTTGCTTCTGTTAATGTGGTTTATTACGTATATTGATTTTCGTATGTTGGACCACCCCTGCATCCCTGGGATGAAGCCTACTTGGTCGTGGTGAATAATCTTTTTGATGTGTTGTTGAATTCGGTTTGCCATTATTTTGTTGAGGATTTTTGCATCAATGTTCATTAAGGAGATTGGCCTATAGTTCTCCTTTTTGGAGGTGTCTTTGCCTGGTTTTGGGATAAGTGTAATACTGACTTCATAAAAGGTGTTTGGCAGTTTTCCTTCCCTTTCTATTTCATGGAACAGTTTAAGGAGGGTTGGTATCAGTTCTTCTTTAAAGGTCTGATAGAATTCAGCAGAGAATCCATCAGGTCCTGGACTTTTCTTTTTGGAGAGACTCTTGCTGCTTCAATTTCATTTTGTGTTATAAGTCTATTCAGGTGATTAATTTCCTCTTGGTTCAGTTTTGGATGATCACATGTACCTAGAAATCTGTCCATTTCGTTAAGATTTTCAAATTTATTTGAATATAGTTTCTTGAAGTAGTCTCTGATGATTTCCTGGACTTCTATGGTGTTTATTGTTATCTCCAATTCTACTAATTTGGGTTTTTTTCTCTCATCATTTTAGTCAGGTTTGCCAGGGGTCTATCGATCTTGTTTATATTTTCAAAGAACCAACTTTTTGTTTCATTAATTCTTTGTGTGGTTTTTTTGGTTTATATTTCATTGATTTCAGCTCTTATTTTTATTATTTTTCTCCTATTTGTTTTGGGATTTGCTTGTTCTTGTTTTTCTAGGAGTTTGAGATGTATCATTAGGTCATTGATTTGGGATCTTTTAGTCTTTTTAATATATGCACTCATGGCTATAAACTTTCCTCTCAGATCTGCCTTTGCTATGTCCCATAGGTTCTGGTAGGTTGTGTTTTCATTTTCATTGACTCCCAGGAACTTCTTAATTTCCTCTTTTATTTCATTGGAGATCCATTGTTC